AAAAAAAAAAAAGGGATTAAATAAATCTATTTAAGAATGAATAAAAATAATGAGGCCAGGCACGGTAGCTCACACCTGTAATCCCAGCACTTTGGAGGCCAAAATGGGTGGATCACCTGAGGTCAGGAGTTCAAGACCAGCCTGGCCAACATAGCAAAACCCCATCTCTACTAAAAATACCAAAATTAGCTAGGTGTGGTGGCGGACACCTGTAATCCCAGCTACTTGGGAGGCTGAGGCAAGGGAATCACTTGAACCCGGGAGGCAGAGTTTGCAGTGAGCCGAGATCACGCCACTGCACTCCAGCCTGGAAAACAAGAGCGAAATTCTGTCTCAAAACAAAAACAGAGAAAAGAATAAAAGTCTATCAATAAAGAATATGATGTGAAAATGTTTACATATGTTTAAGAAAAAAGGCTACAAATTAGTAGGTTTGATGGATTCTAAATATATATGTATTGATATATAATATTAATCACTTAAGAGAATTCCAAGGTGTAAACAGTGATTATCCCTGAGGGGTGGGATTTTGATGATTTCCTTTTAAAAAAATTGACAATTGTATATTCTGATTATTAAAGACTGACTATTTTTTACTGTTAAAATAAGGAAAAACTTTGTTTTAAAATAATCTAAATATTTTCAGCTTTGATCATCGTAGCAACTTCCATGCTATTATAACTGAAAAGGGAAAATAAATTTTTGAAAATAAGAGTTCCTGATCCAGAGGAATGTAAGGAACTTTTGGATCTCAATTCCAGTTCCAGTAAGGCCTTGGGTCTAAGACCTTAACCTGGGTGTTTTTGTAGGTGTTTTGCTTTTTAGGGTCATTAGGGCAAGTACAGGTTGTACCACTCTTTCTGTTCTTTTACGATGGCAGCAGTGTTTGTTCTATTGTTTATATTTGGTAACTTCTGAGTGACACATGTCTCTCCTTTGACATGCATTGAGTCTTTGCCCCAGGAGGCTACAGTGACTCATAATAAGTTTAAAAATATCACAAGTCTTAAAAGATCAGGTTTCTTTTGTCTTCTATTTATAAAGAGCTCATTGTAACCCCTTTTATCACAGTCAGAATAGGTTCTGAAAGATACCACTGGGTGCATTTGTCTTTTTGCTTTTTATTTTCATGTTGAGCCAGCTCTGCCTACTAGTATTACAAGAATTCTCAGATCCCACAGGAAATATCTGCAAACTATTTTTCCAACTTGACAAAAGCAGCCAGTTTTTACCTGAGCGTCTGTTTTAGGGCTTTTGACAGGCAAAAATGGCTAACCCCAAGGCCCCAGGGGAATCTGCATTCTGTCCCTGCTGTTCACAAGGATTTGAAGGGAGAGACTCAGCCCACCCTTAATGAAGGTACTGGAAAAGCCTGGTACTTACCCCATTACTATTGCCTTTTTTTGAGAAACCAAGAATAGGAGGATGTTCCCTTTTTCCACATTTTCATTTTGGCTACTGAAAATACTATGGCTGGGCACGGTGGCACACGCCTGTAAATCCCAGCACTTTGGGAGGCCGAGGGCAGATCACTTGAGGTCAGGAGTTCGAAACCAGCCTGGCCAACATGATGAAACCCCACCTCTACTAAAATACGAAAATTAGCTGGGCATGCTGGAGCATGCCTGTAATCCCAGGTACTCGGGAGGCTGAGGCACGAGAACTGGCTGAACCTGGGAGGCAGAAGCTGCAGTCAGCTGAGATCATGCCACTGCACTCCAGCCTGGGTGACAGAGTGAGACTCTGTCTCAAAAAAAAAAAAAAAGAAAGAAAGAAAATGAAAATACTATCCTTATTAAATAGGTTAAGTATAGGTTTCATCAGTGCTCCCTTTGTCTTTTTTTTTTTTTTTTTTGAGACGGAGTCTTGCTCTGTCACCCAGCCTTGAGTGCAGTGGCGTGATCTCTGCTCACTGCAACCTTCGCCTCCCAGGTTCAAATGATTCTTCTGCCTCAGCCTTCTGAGTAGCTGGGACTACAGGCACGTGCCACCATGCCCAGCTAATTATTGTATTTTTTGTAGAGACAGGGTTTCACCATATTGGCCAGGCTGGTCTTGAACTCCTGACTTCGTGATCCACCTGCCTTGGCCTCCCAAAGTGCTGGGATTACAGGCGTTAGCCACTGCGCCCGGCCAGGTGCTGCTCCCTGTGCTAGAGATAAGGAGTTAATGGTATCTACTTTGGGATCTAGATGTTTGAAATAAGGGTACATTGAAGGTAAAATTTGTTCTTTATCTTCCCTAGATTGAATGAGGGTCACTGAAGATACAGTGTTTACTCTTTGTCTGCTGTGAAAAAGTCTGTTCCCATCTCTAGGTATTTTGTGGTTGATGTTTTATCACTGTACTTGTTTTCCTTTCACTCCACTGCATGTAAATTCTTGCCTCACAGTGTAATATTGGCAGAGTACCTTGAAGGTCAATTCAGTAAATATTTATTACCCTTGAAGTTCAATTCAATAAATATTTATTGAATCGAGCCATTCAATATGCTAACTACAGAGATACAGAGCTGAGTAAAGATACATTCCCCTTAAGGAGATCATAGTCTCTCAGAGGAGACAGACAAATGAACAAATAAACCAATAGTGCAACCACAGAAGTATAGGTGAGGTACACAGTAAGACAAAGGAGGGAATGAATGATTACCTATAGCCACCTCAAACCCTTTTTGGAGCAAATTAGGTTGTAAATAAATAAAGGGAAATAACCATGGTAGGAGAGGGATGCAGCGGCAGCATTCTCAAAGATGAACGCTATACAGGTAACTAAGGGTGGTTTTGTAATGGTTTATTTCCCAAATACAGGTATTTATTTGAACTGAAGGAAGATGATGATGCATGTAAAAAAGCCCAGCAAACAGGAGCGTTTTACCTCTTTCATGGTCTGGCTCCTCTGCTTCAGACTTCAGCACATCAATACCTGGCCCCCCGACATAGCCTGTTAGGTAAGTCCAGAGTGGACCAGTGGTGTTGACCAGCCTGTGGCCACTAAGCAGAATTCAGCCCATAATGAACTCTAAGAAAGATCCTTGAACTTTGGAGTCTAGATTTTTCAAAAAGCTTTTGAGTCTCATGCTTGTATAACTGCTTCTGCCAACTAATAATTTATTTTATGAACTCTAGTTGTCCAGTCAAATATTATTTGGTGATGAAATGAACCACTAATGCCTTAAACCAGGGGTTGGTAAAACTGCTGTCCAAATTGTACCTGCTACCTATTTTGTAAATTAATTTTTATTGGAACATAGCCATACTCATTCATTGACATATTGTTTATAGCTACTTTTGCACTACAGTGCAGAGTTGTGACAGAGACTGTATGACTCACAAAGCCTAAAATATTTAGTATCTCTTTCCAGAAAGTTTGCCTATCTTTGCCTTAGAGCAGTGAATTCCAGCCTCCACTGAGGTATACACTATTATGCTAATTAAGAGTTCTATCATGGCCGGGCAAGGTGACTCACACTTGTAATCCCAGCACTTTGGGAGGCTGAGGCAGGAGGATCAGGAGGTCAAGACATTGAGACCAACCTGGCTAACAAGTCTCTACTAAAAAATACAAAAAAATTAGCCGGGCGTGGTGGCGGGCGCCTGTAGACCCAGCTACTTGGGAGGCTGAGGCAGGAGAATGGCATGAACCTGGGAGGCGGAGCTTGCAGTGAGCCGAGATCGTGCCACTGCACTCCAACCTGGGTGACAGAGAGAGACTCTGTCTCAAAAAAAAAAAAGAGTTCCATCATAACTTCATTTTTATTAGAAGGGTCAAGATTAAAAGTGAATTAAATTTGCTTTTAGAACTCTTTTAGCATATATAACTAAAGATATCTAAGCCACTGGGATTTGTCATTCAAAATGCAAACTTTGGCTGGGTTGGGTGGCTCATGCCTGTAACCCCAGCATTTTGGGAGGCTAAGGTCGGTGGAATGCTTGAGCCCAGGAGTTCAAAACCAGCCTAGGCAACATAGTGAGACCCTATCTCTACCCAGGAACAAAAAATTAGTCGAGCCTGGTGGTGTCTCAAAGACAGAAAACAAAATGTGAACTTTCAGTTTTATATGAGTCACTATATACTGACTAACTTCTGTATTGCCAGTGAATTTCCCCCATAGGTTAGAAGTTGGAGTACTTGGATAGGTAGTTTCTAGCAGTGCACAAGAATCTGAGGACTCCATCAGAAGGCACTATACATTATTTAGAGATTTAGCAATGTTTATGTTGTATTATGATTTTTTTTGTGTTATGTTATATTATGAACAAATAAATATGAGTCCGTCATGAACAAGTGTATAGGATTTCTCCCTACACAGCACTCATCTCTTAGAGATTGGCATCTCAGATGAGTATTTTACTCTACTTTGGTCCACAAAAGTAGCACATTCTGGAGGTTAATTACAGAACTGGTTTGGTCTTTAACTGTAGCCTTGAACTCCTGGGCTCAAGAGATCCTCCCACCTCTGCCTTCCAAGTTTTTGGAATTACAGGTGTGCACTTCACTGCACCCGGCTGATTTTATTTTTTGTAGAGACAAGGTCTTTCTGTGTTGCCCAGGCTGGTCTCAAACTCCTGGCTTCAAGCGATCCTCCCTGCCCCTCAGCCTTGGTCTCTACCATTTTAAGTGTGACACTTATTTTTTTTTCAATGACTTAATAAGTTAACTATCATGCACCTTACTATCTAGGGGATATTTTCCTTTCATGATACAGTCATAGAGTAATACAATGTTATACAAGAATTCCTTCTTTGGTCTAAAGTCCTCAGATTGCTAAGGAGAAAACAGGCCTGGAAAGGTTAAACGGTTAGACCAAGGTTACATAGCTAATTAGCTGCAGCTGGAAGCCAAGTATACCTACTTTAAGCTGAAGTAGACGATTTTCAGTGAGTCTAATATGGCTGTAGTGATTTAATAGAAACCCTTGTGTTTTGCTTTTCTCCCTTCTGTTTCTTAGAGTTGGAAAGGCTCCTGGGTAAATTTGGACAGGATGCACAAAGAATAGAAGATTCTGTGTTGATTGGATGCTCCGAGCAGCAGGAGGCATGGTTTGCTCTGGATCTAGGTCTGGATAGCTCCTTTTCCATAAGTGGTACATAACATTATTCCTAATGGGTACTTCCCAGTGGTCTTCAGAATTTGGGATTTCACGTAATGGTAAAACTTAAAGGAAAATTTGGGGAATACGAAAGGCTATCAACTTTCTATTTTTTTAAAAAGGACATTAAAAATACTGTCATCTGCTATCATCATTTAAATGAAAATAAAGGATATTTTAATGCCTTCTAAGTTAGGTGATGGGTACATGAATGTTTATGGTATTAGTCTCTGTACCATTATACATTTTATTTATTGAGACAATGTCTTGCTGTCGCCCAGGCTGGAGTGCAGTGGTACAATCACAACTCACTGCAGCCTTGCCCCCCTGGGCTCAAGTAATCCTCCCACCTCAGCCTCCTGAGTAGCTGGGACCATAGGCATGTACTACCATGCCTGGCTAATTTTTAATTTTTTTTTAAATAGAGATGGGGGTCTCCTTATGTTGCTCAGGCTGTTCTCAAACTCCTGGGCACAAGCAATCCTCCCTCCTTAGCCTCCCAAAGTGCTAAGATTATAGGTATGAGCCACCACACCTGGCCTATACATTTTATATATATATATATATATATATATATTTTTTTTTTTTTTTGTGGCGGAGTTTCACTCTTGTTGCCCAGGCTGGAGTGCAATGGTGCGATCTCGGCTCACTGCAGCCTCTGCCTCCCGGGTTCAAGCGATTCTTCTGCCTCAGCCTCCCTAGTAGCTGGGATTACAGGCATGTGCCACCACGCCTGGCTAATTTTGTATTTTTAGTAGAGACTGGGTTTCTCCATGTTGGTCAGGCTGGTCTCGAACTCCTGACCTCAGGTGATTTGCCTGCCTCAGCCTCCCAAAGTGCTGGGATTACAGGCAGGAGCCACGGCGCCCGGTCACATTTTGTATATTTCAATATTTCATAAGAAATGTTAAAAAAAACTTATGACATCATTCTTATTTCTTTTATGAATACAGGTGAATAAAAATGTTTCCATAGAGTAGCTCTGGGTCCACAGACCTGCAGTTGGGAACCACTTTGCTATTGGCTCATGGCTCCTGTCAGGCTTTCCTTCTGTCTTTAATGGTCTAGGTATAAATGTAGTGATGCTGGGATGAGGTCAGATAGGAGCCATGAGGTCCCACTTCATCTCTTTTCCAAGGATAAGCTAATGCAAATGTTCTTGTTGCCGCGAAGAAGATCTTGAGACATACTATGTGCTAATGTTTCCCAAACTGGCCTGAATATAAGAATCACCTGGTGCTTGTTAAAAAATAGAGATTGCTGGGCCTCACTCCATGCCAGCTGCTTTAGAATCTCCAGGTAGGGGCTTGAGAATCTTGCTTTTTAAAAAAATTTTATGTATATCTTTATTTATTTTGAGATGGAGTTTTGCTGTCACCCAGGCTGGAGTGCAATGGTGCAATCTCGGTTCACTGAACCTCTGTCTCCTGGGTTCAAGTGATTCTCCTGCCTCAGCCTCCCGAGTAGCTGGGATTACAGGCACCCGCCACCAAGCCTGGCTAAGTTTTGTGTTTTTAGTACAGACAGGGTTTCACCATGTTGGCCAGGCTGGTCTCGAACTCCTGACTTCACGTGATTCACCCTGCTCGGCTTCCCAAAGTGCCATGCCTGGCCTTTTTTAAATTTTAGAGATGGGGTCTTGCTGGAGAGCAGTGGCTATTCACAGGTGTGATCATAGTGCACTGTATGTAGCCTGGAACTCCTAATGGCCTCAAGCCATCCTCCTGCCCCCGCCTCCTGAGTAGCTGGGACTACAGGCACACAACCCCACACCCAGCTGAGAACCTGGATATATTTTACTTTCTCCAGTTCAGTCTCAAGAGGCAAGTTTGGGAAACACTATTTTAACAGGACAGACTGGAGAGAGGCCCTGAAGCAAAGTTTGTCATTGTTTAATTTCATTATCTTTTCTAATTTTCTAGCCTCCTTACACAAACCTGAAATGGAGACAGAGCTCAAGGGGTCTTTCATTGAGCTGAGAAAGGCTCTCTTTCAACTCAATGCAAGGGATGCCTCCATGCTGTCCACGGTAGATTCTGGTTTCTCATTCTGCAGGAAATTTAGTAGAGCACTATGTGTGGGTAAATCCACGTGTAAATCCAAGGCTACAGTGACGTTTGATTTCTTCTTTTGCAGATTCTAGTCCTTTCTACAAACACTGGCAGGACAATGTGCTGTAGGAAGATTGCTTATTCTCCCTTCTTTTGCCCTTGTTTTTGGCAGAACCACTGTCAAGATCATTGTCTCCTAAAGACATGCAGATCTATGGCAATAGGATCTGACAGCCTCATAAACATTTTTAGTGACCCACACAGCATGACATACAGCATCATGTTTTCCCTAAGAGAAATTACTTTACATTGCTTTAATGACTTGCCCTCACAGCTTTAGATTTCACTTGCTAAAGTATTTTGATTGTGCATTTAATTTAAAAAGAAACTTCTAAATATTTTTTTAGTCGCAAAAAATTCCAACTTTACTGGGGAGGAGAACATTTTAGGATGTTCAACTATACTGGGAATGTTTTATTTTTAAGCTGGTTAGTGAATACATGGGTGTTCATTTTATTACCTTATATACTTTATATGTTTTAAATCATAATACGTTTAAAAATATGCTTTCTTTTATTCAGATTTCTGATGCTAGAGGAATATGTTCAGTTAGTTTACTTGTCCTAAAATTTAAACAGTAACCATTTAAATTACGTGGGCTGGAAACAGATTGGCATTTCCCTGTGAGTTGTTCCAGATAGTAGGCCCAGTGCTGTTAAAGATGAGCCCCGCATTCTCTACAAATGAAACCAGGCCCATATTTGTGTCCCTAGGCTCAAGCTCTTCTCCGCTGGCATGATGCTCATCAGTTCTGCAGCAGAAGTGGGCAGCCCACCAAGAAGAACGTGGCTGGCAGCAAGCGTGTGTGCCCTTCCAATAATATCATCTATTATCCACAGGTAAGTATTGCTGTAAGAGGACAGTAATCCAAGAAGACTGTGCACCGCTTTGTCCTGGGGAAGAAAGCCTGTGCAGTTCCTTAATTATACATTGCTTTAGCTCATTGGCAGGCCCCCAAGTGCCAGCATCTCAGTTTCCATTCCCCTTTCCTAGATGGCTCCTGTGGTGATCACGCTGGTGTCAGATGGGACCCGATGCCTGCTTGCCCGCCAAAGCTCCTTTCCCAAGGGAATGTATTCTGCCTTGGCAGGTTTTTGTGATATAGGTAAGGAGTTAAAGGGATATACAGGTGACACTGGAAGATACACAATCTTACTAATACAATCTTCTCTGTCTTGTTGCTATGGAGTTTGGATTCCCAAGCACATTCTTTTCTATCATGTCAAGAAAACTGCCTTCTGGCATTATATATATATATATAAAATTTCTGGCATTATAAACACACACACACACACACATATAAAAAATTTTTTCCTTTCCTTTTTTTTTGAGACAGAGTCTCACCCTGTTGTTCAAGCTAGAGTGCAGTGGCACAATCATGGCTCATTGCAGCCTCAACCTTCTGGGCTCAAGCAATGCTCCCACCTCAGCCTCCTGAATAGCTAGGACTACAGACGCAGGCTATCATGCCCGGCTAATTTTTAAAAATTTTTGTAGACACAGGATCTCGCTGTGTTGCCTAGGCCAGTCCTGAACTCCTGGCTTCAAGTGACCTGCCTGCCTTGACCTCCCAATGTGTTGGGATTACAGGTGTGAGCCACACAATTTTTTTAAGCAAATTTTCAAACATAGGAGATTGTTGAAAGAATTATACAGTGAACACCCATACACACACTACCCAGATTCTATAATTCTTTTTCTTCTTCACATGTAGGCATTTGTTTGTAGGGAGGCCACAAGCTTCGTGCCTCTCATCACAATGACCCCAAATTCCTGTTGGGTGTGTTATAAACAGAGGAGCCATTCTTTAGGCCCCCTGCTCTGAGCACACCCCTAGATTCCATAAATTTTTACTACACTTTATCACAAAGCTGTTCATCTATCCATTAATTAATCTATCTTATTTTTTGATGCACAGATTTAAGATATTAGTACACTTCTTCCTATTTCAGCAGGCATAACATTAGCTAAAATTCAGTATTTATTTACAGGTTGGTTTTTTTCTCTAGTCTATTGGGGTCAAATTTGCAAATGGTGAAAAGTGGAATTTTATGAAAGCTGAGGGCAGTAGTCCCTCCTACTGTCACCCTTACTTTGCATTATAATAACTAACCTAGCAGGCTTAAGCACTGTGGTTCAATACACAGCTCTGGACCTGATTCTTACTGTTGGAATGACTCAGAGTTTTAGGACACTCCCAAGAGCATTTCATTGCAACTTTGGAGCCAGTGTTGTGTGCCTTTCTCAAATGGGCTGTCTGTATCACCCTTCTAGCTACAGGGCTGTCCTGAATTAATCTGAGTGCTTGTAGGTGAAAGTGTGGAAGAGACCATCCGTCGAGAAGTTGCAGAAGAGGTGGGATTGGAGGTGGAAAGCCTGCAGTACTGTGCATCCCAGCACTGGCCCTTTCCTAGTGGCTCACTCATGATTGCTTGCCATGCAACTGTGAAACCAGGGCAAACAGAAGTAAGTTCTTATGTTTCCCTTATGCTGTGATAGTTCTTTTGCTTCGTCTAATCTGCTCATCAGCAAGTACTTATTAAGCACTTGTCTAGTCCAGCATCATCTAGATTATATAAACATTTGTAAAATATGATTCAGGGCTGAGCACGGTGGCTCATGCCGGTAATCCCAACACTTTGGGAGACTGACGTGTGCGGATCACTTGAGGTCAGGAGTTCAAGACCAGCCTGGCCAACATGGCAAAACCCCATCTCTACTGAAAATACAAAAATTAAGGCCGGGCGCGGGTGGCTCATGCCTGTAATCTGAGCACTTTGGGAGGCTGAGGTAGGTGGATCACAAGGTCAGGTGTTCAAGACCAGCCTGGCCAAGATAGTGAAACCTTATCTCAACTAAAAATACAAAAATTGGCTGGGCGTGGTGGCAGGCACCTGTAGTCCCAGCTACTTGGGAGGCTAAGGCAGGAGAACTGCTTGAACCCAGGAGGTGGAGATTGCGGTGAGCTGAGGTCGAGCCATTGCACTCCAGCCTGGGCAACGGCAAGAATGCATCTCGAAAATAAATAAATAAATTAATTAAATTAAATATGATTTATGCCCTCAAGGAATTTGCAGCCTATTAAAGGAAGCAAATAATCTCCATTCTTCCTTGCATATATGTCAGTCATGAGATAATTTCTTTTCTTTTTTTTTTTTTTTTTTTTGAGACTGAGTCTTACTCTGTCACCCAGCCTGAGTGCTGCAGTGGCACAATCTCAGTTCACTGCAACCTCTGCCTCCTGGGTTCAAGTGATTCTCCTGCTTCAGCAGAGAAGTATATACCCTTGAAATTATCAAACCATCATCACTATCAATGCCATAAACGTATTCATCACCTACAAAAGTGTCCTTCCACCTTTTATTTTTCTCCCACCCCACTATTGTTTTTTTTATTTTGTGGTAAAAGCACTTGACGTGAGATCTATTTTCTTAGCAAATTTTTATGTGTATAATATAGTATTATTAATTGTAGACCTTATGGTATACAGATCTTCAAAACTTATTTTGCATGACTGACACCTTGTACCCTTTGACCAGTGGCCACCCCCGCCATTTTCCCCTCTCTTCAGCTCCTGGCAACCACCACTCTACTCTCTGCTTCTATAAGTTTGCCTATTTTAGATTCCACATATAAGTGAGATCATACAATATTTGTCTTTCTGTGTCTGGCTTATTTCACTTAGCATGTCCTTTGGACCCATCTATCTTGTTGCAAATGCAGGATTTCCTTCCTTTTTAAGGCTGAATAATATTCTATTCTATGTATATACCACATTTTCTTTATCTATTCATCCATTGTGAATAATGCTGCAGTGAACATGGGAGTGCAGATACCTCTTCAAGATCCAGATTTCAGTCCCTTTGGACATATATCCAGAAGTGGGTTGCTAGATCAAAGGGTCATTCTATTTTTAATTTTTTGAGGAACCTCCATATCTTTTTCCATAGTAGGTGCACCAACTTACATTACCCCCAACAGTATACATGGGTTTCCTTTTCTCTACATCCTTACTAATACCTGCTGTCCTTTGTACTTTTTAATAGTAGCCATTAAAGAAGGTATAATAGTAGCCATCAAAGAAGGTATGAGGTTTTCATTTGCATTTGCCTGATTATTAGTGATGTTGAGCACCTTTTCACACACCTGTTGGCCATTTGAATATCTTCTTTGGAGAAATGTCTATTTAGATCCTTTGCCCATTTTTAAGTTGGCTTATTTATTTTTTGGTATTAAGTTGTAGGAGTTCCTTAAATATTTTGGATATTAACTCCTTATTAGATATAGGGTCTGCAAATATTTTCTCCCATTCTGCAGGTTGTCTCTTCACTCTGTTGATAGATTCCCTGACTCTGCAGAAGCTTTAGTTTGATAGAATCCCTACTTGTCTATCTTTGCTTTTCTTGCCTGTGCTTTTGGTGTCATATCTAAGAGATTGCTGCCCAGTCTAATGTCTAGAAATTTATTCCTTTATGTTTTCTTCTAAGAGTTTTATTGTTTCAAGTTTTACATTTAAGTCTTTAATCCATTTTAAGTTGGTTTTTGTATATGGTGTAAGATAAGGGTCCAATTTTGCACGTGGATATCTGATGTTCCCAACACAGTTTTTTTTTTTTTTTAAGACGGAGTCTGGCTCTGTTGCCCAGGCTGGAGTGCAGTGGCTGGATCTCAGCTCACTGCAAGCCCTGCCTCCCGGGTTCACGCCATTCTCCTGCCTCAGCCTCCCGAGTAGCTGGGAGTACAGGTGCCCGCCACCTCGCCCGGCTAATTTTTTTTGTATTTTTAGTAGAGACGGGGTTTCACCATGTTAGCCAGGATGGTCTCGATCTTCTGACCTCGTGATCCACCCGTCTTGGCCTCCCAAAGTGCTGGGAATACAGGCTTGAGCCTCCGCGCCCGGCCCCAACACAGTTTTTATGAGACAATTTATCTTTTATTGTCAGGACTTAAGAGTGTCTTACATATAGTAGGCACACAATCAGGCATCATTTAATGACTGACTGCAGGATTGGTCTTACTGCTCAAGTCAGTTAGGATGCTGGGAACTAAAAATAGAGTCTCACTCTTGTCGCCCAGGCTGGAGTGCAGTGGCACGATCTCAGCTCAGTGCAACCTTTGCCTCCCGGGTTCAAGCAATTCTCCTGCTCAGCCACCTGAGTAGCTAGGATTACAGGTGCCTGCCAGCATGCCGGGCTAGTTTTTGTATTTTTATTAGAAACGGGGTTCCACCATGTTGGCCAGGCTGGTCTCAAACTCCTGACCTCAGGTGATCCTTCCACCTCAGCCTCCCAAAGTGCTGGGATTATGGGCATAAGCCACCATGCCTGGCTAGACATTGTCTTATCCAATGTCATCTTGCACTTCCCTGACCGATGGTCTCTGCCTGCCGAAGTTTGCCTATTGTATGTTTTGGTTTTTATAGAATCTTTTATAGAATATCTAATCTATTTCAGCTTCCTCAGCATGAAGTTCACATTACTTTGCTTCTTGCAAAGATGAGACTATGCTTTTGACTATCGTTAACCCTTATCCTTTAAAAAAAAAAAACAGTGGCTGGGCACGGTGGCTCACGCCTGTAATCCCAGCACTTTGGGAGGCAGGTGGATCACCTGAGGTCAGGAGTTCTAAACCAGCCTGTCCAACACGGTGAAACCCCGTCTCTGCTAAAAATACAAAGAAATTAGCCGGGTGTGGTGGTGGGTGCCTGTAATCCCAACTATTCGGGAGGCTGAGGCAGGAGAATCATTTGAACCTGGGAGACGGAGGTTGCAGTGAGCCAAGATCACATCATTGCCCTCCAGCCTGGGCAAAAAGAGCAAAACTCCATCTCAAAAAAAATAAAAATAAAAAAGTAATATTTGTATGTTCTTTTTTAATTGAAAAATTTATACAATCAATAGAGACACAAGGAAAAATAGGTATTATTCATAATTTATTCTCAATGTTAACCACTCTCAACATTTTAGTATTTGTACTTCCAGGATTTATTTAATATATCTTTTTTTTTTTTTTACTATGTTAAAAATATATTTAACTCTCATTTCTTAATTATGCCTCTTTTGCTTCTGGACAGTATCTAGAACTGACTTTCATCTAACCTGGAGATCCCAGGTATTATCTTCTAAGATTGCTTAGTTCTAGAATCATTTTCTGACCTTTGGCCATAGTATTCTAAATTTTGTAGCTCCTGACCTTACATCCTTTTCTTCCTTATGTCTTTCAGATCCAGGTGAACTTGAGAGAATTAGAGACAGCTGCCTGGTTCAGTCATGATGAGGTAGCCACAGCCCTGAAGAGAAAGGGCCCCTATACTCAGCAACAGAATGGGACTTTCCCATTCTGGCTGCCCCCTAAGTTAGCCATCTCCCACCAACTGATTAAGGAGTGGGTGGAAAAACAGACCTGTTCTTCCCTGCCTGCTTAGCCCAGACCAAGTAACTTAGATCGCTCCTTGGTATTCCTGAGGGACAAACTAGAGATCAGTTGACAAAGAAGTGAAAAAGACAAGCTACAGGACCTCAGAAGGGCAGAGCAGAGGGTGAGCCTACAGTAAGACACTTCTATCAGCAGTGTTAATGGAAGAAATTCCTACCAATGGGCAATCAAAAAAGCCAGTGTGAGAAGAAAACTGATGAGCTGTCAACTGTCAAAACTCAGGGGGAAGGCGGAAGCATTAGTTTGGATGCAGGCCCTTGTTCAGTCATTTTCTCCAAGGCCTTGGAAACAAACATCTTTTGGCATATGGCTTGTTAATGTTGTGTTTACACTAACTGCCAAAATGTGCCTGTTGTAAGTTTGGTGAAAACTTCTTTTATCTTAGTATTGAAAATATATAGCAAGTTTCAAGTCATTACTGAGTTACTTGTTACCCTTACAGAATTAAGAAAAATAGCACAGTATAACATATTTAAATTCATGTACAGGTGCATTCTAGTTACATGTACATGGTAGTTAAATAAAAGTCATAATTAAGTCATTATGACTCAGAGTACTTTATAATAAACCAGATGCCATGAGGCTCTGTTGAGGTAGTAGAATCTCAATGGGACTCCAGAGAGTAAGTCTTTTTTGCTGTTTTCAGCTCTGTCACATGCTCAGTTCGTGACCCAGGGAAAAGACTCTCGCTTTGCCATGCCTGTTTTCCTAAATAAAACAGTTGCTGGCATTTGCACATCCACAATGTGTTGATTAACTTTAACAAAGGGATTGGTGGAGATAAACAGATGCCAAACCTGACCTATTTCTTAAACTTTATGGAATAAACTAAATTTAGGATTTCTCATCATTCATATATGATGCCATAAGGGAGAAGAGATTATTTGGGGAAAATAAAATGTCCACACCTTTGTTCTGATGTCTTTTTCTGTTCTATGAATTGAGAAAATTTTACAAGGTGAGAATTTGGGGGTAGGGGAAAGGATCCCTATTGGTGACAATTAAACAATTAAGTCCAGGTTTCAAGTCAGTGGAACAACTGAAGCAATGTGCAGGAGAAATGTTAGAGGTCTTGCTGAAAAGAGGAAATAATCATATCTTCAGAAGATTCTAGGCACTAATTTGTGATTAAAGACACAAGCTCCAGAGACCCTAAGGTTATTTACACGTCAAAGTCCCATACGACTAAGTTCCAAAGTCCCATAGGACTAAAGAGATTCTAGAACTAGAAAAGTTAAAGCACTGAATTCCCTTTTGATCTCAAAAGGTCATTGCTCTCTCCACAGCCAGCAAACCATCATTGCTTTGGGGAAATCAAAGTGCCTTCATCAGGAAATGTTGAGGGATAATATGTGATGGGACTTGATTGTCTTGTTAGATTGGCAGCTTGCCTTTACCTGGGCTGAACCCAGCATGCAGAAGGGTAAAGCACTCACAAAAGAGAGGTTCTGAGATTTCTTCATATCTTGCAGTTAGAAGAAAACAGTTCAGGGTCCATGTGTATTACCATCTCCCAATCTTTTCTATCTCTATGTGGGTGTGTTTGTGAGCACATGTGTACACATCCCCAATCTGAAAATACTGATAGAAAGGGGAGTGTGCGGAGTTCCTGGTTATGAGTTTCCCAAACTTACCATGGAGTAACTGTTTGTTTTTTGATTAATGTGTTTTTGGGAAAGAAAAGATGAGAGTGGCTAGCAGCAGGAGCTGCAACATTGAACTTTGCTTCTCAGTAGTGAGTGGGAAAAGAACTTTGCTGTAGAACTCCAAGGATATCTGAAAGCTGAGGCAGAAAAGAACAGGCTTGGGATACTGAAAATGGCAGATAAATAAAAGAAACTTTGGTACAGGGCCTACCTGACCTGAGAATATATATGTGGACAATGAATTATGAAGGTGCTAAGGATAAATATAACTCATCTGGGTCCATGATGCAGAATAGAAAAACAGGTGAAAGTCAGTCAGCCCTGGTAACCAGAATTTTAAAAATTTTCATTTATATTTTTGCCTGTCTATCACCCCTTCTCTACCCAATATTTAATCCTCAATGAAGATAAACCTAATGTACCACAAGTGCAATGGGGGGAAACCTTTTTCTTATAGTTGAGCTGGGATGGCATTCTGGACCCCATTTTTAACATGAGAAATGTAGCTTCAAAACAAACAATAAAAATATATTTAAAATAATTATTATTTAAAATGTTAAAATGTTGCACAATATCATCTGATGTGTTACTTTAGTCAATGTGTAACACTTACCCTCTTCCTTAGTTCACTTCAGTGAACACTAGGAAGAGAAAGGATTGGAGTGGGGTATGGTATATTTAGTATTTATTTATTTATTTATTTTTGAGACGGAGTTTCGCTCTTGTCGCTTGGGCTGGAGTGCAATGGTGCAATCTTGGCTCACTGCAACCCCTGGCTCCCGGATTCAAGCTATTCTCCTGCCTCAGCCTCCCAAGTAGCTGGGATTACAGGCACCCACCACCACGCCCAGCCATATTTAGTTTTTATTAGTTTGTGATAGTAAGTTCTCAAATGAGAACTCTACTACACCATTCTCCTAATTCCTCCCTTGGTCACTGGAGAGGGAACAGTATGAATCTACTTCCATTGTTTTTACTTGGATAGGGTAAGATATAGTAAGGGCATGTCTCTGCTGCATGCGATAATAAAGAAGAATCCAGAGACCTAGATTATAAAAACATGGTCAATATATGGAGCTGTCTGTAGAGAAGACTTTTTTTTTTGCTTTTAATGGTGAATTTTATGATATATAGATAATGATTTATTTTAGGAGGAATATGAGAATCATTTTAAGAAACATTTCATCTTAGCAATAGATATATCAGCTATATTAAATATCAAACCAATTAATTAATTAAAACAATTAAGTACAGTATCAGGTATGAAATGTCCAAAATAGGCAAATCCATAGAGACAGAAAGTAAACTAGTGGTTTCTAGGGGCTGGGAGTGGAAGGGAATGAGAGACTATTAGTGAGTATGGGGTTTCTAATATTCTAGAATTAGATGGTGGTGATGGTTGCACAATTTTGTAAATATACTAAAAACCCCTGAATTGTATAAAGGGTAAATTTTTTGGTATGTGACTTATATCTCAATATAGCTGTTATTTACAAGTAAATAAGTTCTATATCTTGCTTCAGGTACATACATACATGTAAAAATTCACTGACTGTACACTCAAGATTTGTGCACTTAACCATATGCATGTTATGCCACATTAAAAAAATTGAAAAGAAAAAGTGAATGAGTTATCAAATCCAAATCTGTCAGCTTGAAATTTTGATCTGAGGATGAATAGCAGTAAGGGAGAAATTTAAATATTTAGAATTACTCCAAGGGTATATTGTGGTAGGCCATGTCCTTAGCACAAAGTGTGTGAATTTCATCTCAAAGTTGTCTAGGGGTTAGATTCTACCCTGCCAAGTTCAAAACCTGTGTGTAACCCACAGCTGAGATCACAAAGACTTGTGCCAAGAGGGCCACAATTCTCATGTAGGAGAAGTCAATCTGTAAAACTTGTAATGAAGAAACATTTTTACTAAATGAGTAATCTAAACTAGAAATGAACAGAATCATATTCAATATTTATTTAAAAAGAGAAAAGAGAAGCTAAATGTGCTGGTTAATTTTTCGTTGGCTTACTTGTTGGTCTGTGATCGGTGTTGTCAGGCAGTTGCACTCCCATGCTTTGTAAAAGATTGGAAGCGGGTCCTGCCAGTCCAGCTTGGGAGCTATAGGATTCCAATATATTTGAAACCAGGTTCAGGTCCACATCTACTGGTGCCATAACAGATTCTCCTGTATCAGAATCTTCCTGATCTGAATTGTTGTCAGTAGTCTGGGATACAGGTTCCTTATTCATGGAGGGAAAAGAAAATTATGGGATAATATATCATTAGGTTGCATGGTGGTTACAATAAAAAGATAACTAAGCCACAATGTAAATTTGCATTCCAAATTAAAAAGGAAACTTCTTATCCTTGGTGATATAAACTGAAAATGAAGTCTAATAAGTTATATGGCTTAGCACAGATATTAACACTTGGTTCTAAAGATTATAAGACACTTCTCTCCAGGAAAGATTCCTGCAAATCAAATAAATCGCATGTCTATTTTGAAATAGCTCAAGGGCTAACAGAATTAAGAAGGTACATTTATAACTTGTCTAAGAGTCTTAAAAGAAAGAAACATAAAAGTGAATATTAAATGAAATAATAATGTAAATTTTCTTCAAAATGAAAGAAGCGAGTGTTCCTTTCTTTCCCAGTGAAAAAGCTTAAAAATGAAAACACAAGGCTTTGTGGTTGCAACCACAAAGACTCTAAATTGTTAGTTGGGCCTCTGATTCCACAAGCTGGGGAAAGGATTTGAAAGATTACAGCTCGATAGACTTTTATGTCCTTGCTACCCAAAGTGTAGTCCATGGAGCAGCAGAATCTCCATCGCTTGGGGCTTATTAGAAATGGAAAATCTCAGCTGGGAGTGGTGGCTCACACCTGTAATCCCAGCACTTTGGGAGGCTGAGGTGGGTGGATCACTTGAGGTCAGGAGTCTGAGAGACCAGCCTGGCCAACTGTCTCTACTAAAAATACAAAAATTAGCCAGGCATGGCGGTGCACACCTGTAGTCCCAGCTACTTCAGAGGCTGAGGCAGGAGAATCGCTTAAACCCAGGAGGCAGAGGGTGCAGTGAGCCAAGATTGCACCACTGCACTCCAGCCTGGGTGATAGAGGGAGACTTCCATCTCAAATTAAAAATAATAATAATAATAAAATAAAACAAAGTGATTTTAAAAAAAAAAAAAGGAAAATCTCAGGCTTCATCCCAGGCCTACTTAATCAGAATCTATGTTGTAACATGATCCTTTGGTTTATATTCACATTAAAATTTAAGAAATACTGCTGCTTTAGATAAATCTAATGTATGGTTTCTACTAGATTTTGACAATTCTGGAAGTGATTATAGTTTTAAAAGTGGTTTAGATGACCAAAGCAAGGGGAATTAACATTAATTACAGGCCTATTGTAGGTTTTTCTGCTGTCTGATTTGGTTCTCATGTTAATTCTATGACATGAGGATTACTGGTTTATAGACACAGTGCCAGTGGACAGCTGAGGTAGACTTCAAACCCTCACCCATAAGACTCCAGGGTCCTTGCTCTTTCCATAATGCCTCTGTTTAGGATTAGACAGTAGTGGCATTAAAAACTAGGATGAAAACATAAATGGAAGGTGAATTCTAAATTTGGCTCTAAATTAGGGAAACATACAAAATAAACTGTCAAAACTGGAAAGTTATTTGGATGTTTAAGATCCTTTCTATTTATTTACTTATGTTATTTTGTTTTAATCCACTGTGGCCCAAGGCACAGTCTCAAAAGGTCTTGAGAACATGTGCCCTCTCTTTTTTAAAATCCATTTAAGCTGTAGTTTTTTAAAACTACTTTTTTTTTTTTT